CTCCAATGAGCAGAACGAAGACCAGAGACCTCATGATTGCTGAGTGATCCTTTAGATGAGAGGACTTCACCTGGAGCTCTCATTTATATCCACAGGAGAGCTGCCCAACTCTCTGAGCAATCCTATTGGTTAGCGAGGAGCCAATCTCTTTGGTGGGTCGTTGGGCTGGAGACCAGATTAACATAGGAATAGCTTTCTTTTTAAAATCTTGATATAAATCATGCACTTAAATAGAAAAAATCCTAATAATATGTATATTGTACTCGTGTGGCTTTCCAATGTACCAAAACACACTTATACACTTAGATTTTGGTTTAAAAAAAAACATGAAATAAAAAGTTAGCTTGTGTTCTCAGAAATTTGTGTGCATGTGTTTGGTCAGGTTATAGAGGTAAATATAACTCCTATATTTAGATATTTGTGGCTGGATAAGCAGGAGAAATGGATGAATGGAACACGGTATCTCACAGCTGTGTACTTCTCAGCACCTATGACCTAGAAATTAAAGTCACAAATGGACATTGAGGCTGCCATGAGCAAAAAATAAGTTGATAGTTAATATTATATGTATAAATTATTCTTTGTGGGTGTGAAATACCTCACTTTAAAGTAAATAATGAAATACCACAGTGTGAAAAATATCCAGACAATCAGCAACTCCAGGTGAGCTGATAAAGAAATTGATACAGAAGTAGTGACTTGCTATACAGTAGGTTTATATTTATATATATTTTTTAAATTTTAAAGAAAGAACATCATATTATTTTTAATTGTGTGCTGTTTTTTCTTGTTAGATTTATAGAACATCTTATGTTAACATCCAGACTTTAGGGACTTATTTTTTTTATATTAGGCCTGTTTGGTTTTAGATTACTTTAATTACTTTTGTTTTGTTTTGATTTTTTGTTGGCTTTTGTTGTTTGTTTCTTTCAAAGATAAAAACGCCATGACAGCTTTCATTATACATTTTGTCTTTGTGACTTTTCTGGGAATGTGTTTTTTGCCCCATGAAAAAACTGAACTGAGGTTCTTTTATGAAGCTGACAGACTGTTTGCAAGTTTAATTTCGTTTTTTTAAAAGGTTCTTACTAAAATAATTCGTTATCATTTTAAAGATGAAAATATATCCTGAAAAGAAATCCATCAAAGTTATCTAGAAAACAGAGGCAGAATGACTATATATATTTCTTTTTGACTTATAATCATGTCGTGTACTGTGTGATGTCCAAAAAAAAAGTACAGTGGAAACATTTTTTAAAAGCCAGAAATCACACATTCTGACACCATAGGGTTAGGGATTATAGTTTTATTCAGTGTACTAGTGATGATGATTTATCCCTCCCATGGATAATTACTTCAGCAGATAATAATTGAATTAATGCAGGGATACTTTTGCATAAAGTTTCTTAACCTAGCTTTGAAAAGGTGCTGTTTAGGTATTAGGAATATGTTTAATAGTAGGTTTACTGTTGTAAATAAGATGCTATTGTTATAAATTACTGTGCAGTGCTCGCTAGAATGTACATGCACTACAGCTGGTTTCTGTCTTAATTCTGAACTCTGGCCATGTGTAAAGTTACACCATAAGAGTGACTGATGATGATGTCTTGCAACAGTGGTAACAGGCTCTGCCAATCAATTGCCATTGCATGTTAGAAAGGAGTAAAAAGACCCTTAAAAGGAGCCCACCCTATATCCAGATGGCCTCAGATTCAGTCGTACTTATGTCCACAGAAAAGGTTTGAAGCAGATTACATAAACTTACCAAATAAAAAACTCAGAGACAGTCACTGATCAAAATTAGATCAAAATTCTATTTAAGGATACATAGACTGTTGTATAATTGGCAAACAATATATAAATGTGTAATTTGTTATTACCAGTCCCAGATTATTGGGCATGTATCAATCCCTTTCTAAACAGCAGCAGCAGCAGTGGCAAATTGAAGTAGAGAGAAGATTTCAGCAGTTCAGATGATTTCTGTACAAAATAACTGCCTTTCTCCGACTTCCTAAATTCCAGGATATGGTTGTAAAATGTTTGTTTTACTATTTTAAATATCAAAAAACAGTTTTGTAGGAAAACAGAAGGCAAAAAATTGAAGTCAAGGTGAATAACTTTATTGATTTAGGTGGCTTCTGACTGCAAGTTGTTTAGAACTCAACAACAACAATGGAGTTAAAATGATAGAAAAATTGCAGCAGAGTCGGAAAGAAGTTGAAGGATCAGACTTAATAGCTGGCCATGGTTTGCTGAATCCAGTCATTGAAGATGCAGACCTGTGAATG